GCCTGAGCAGCCTTGCTCTTTCTCCCTCCTGAGCTGGGGAACTGGAAATATGAGCCAGGAAGGGGAAGGGGGGGGGGGGAGGGAGAAGAAAGCAAAGTTTTTCCCCAAAAATATGTTAACAGAAGTGTTTAAGCAGATCACTAAAAATTAAGAGGGCGCGTTCTTTCCCTGATGCATATGAACCAATGTAGCACACCGATGACAGTTTGGTGGAAATGAGATGAATGTGTAATCCAGCGAAGTTCTTCCAGTCCAGCAGCTTTTCCAACTGGACCTATTCATCTGCCACTTGGAATTATTTCATGAAGAGCGCGCTGTGAAAGGATCACAACCAGTTTGGAGTCCAGCTAAAGAACTTCTACCACCCATTGCAGTATTATTATTATCCGTCGGATAGGGCAAGTCACGCTATGTTTTCACATTTTAATTGTAATATCTCTTTCCCCCTCCACCCTCCCTCCTTCTCCCCTCCATTGATGTCTGAAAGTAGTTTGGGCTCCACGCCTCACCCCCTAGATCTGCATCGGAATGCAGAAAAGATCTTTAAAAAAGTTTTGAATTCCTCAATGATTTTTCTTCTAGAAAGGCGGCTTAGGATAATTATTTCAGCTTTATTGAGGGCAGATTAGTTGAAGTCTGGATGCTGCGTTTCAATACTCGTTGTACATGGCTTTACAATGTCGGTATTGTTTGCTACTGTGTGTGAACCTATTCAAAATATACACTTTTTAACACCAAGCAAAGTCCTGTCTAAATATACACAGTAAGTCTGGAAAGATGTCCATGACCCGTACAAATCTCTGTAAATCACACTTCCATAGCTACAGAAACTAAACAAAAGAGTTACCAGCTCAAGATGCTGATTAAATCTTCTTAAAAGCAACATACCTAATAATAAATATAGTTGCAGGGTAGCAAGGTCCAGGAGCCCAGCAAGTGGTTGCTGAGATGTGGGTTCAAAACAGCCGCTGGACTTCTTTGCCTGCACTTTGGAGGGGGGGGGGGGAGAAAAAAAAAAGAAATTTATTTTGCATTTGAAATTAACTCCCCGCCCCCACCCCCCGCAAAGTTTGGGGCAGAAATTGTATGTGAGAGTGGGGAATGGCTGGTAAAGCCTGGGCTGCTCTGTTTGCGAGTGGCCGACTGTTGGGGGAAGATGGGAAGGAAGGGAGGGAGGAAGAGAGAAAGAAAGGATGAGAGAAAGAAAGAGCAAGGGGGGGGGCAAACA